CATTGAACCATTGATTTGGTGCATTCCCAGACGCTTTACCGGCCTCGAAGTCGGCATTGTCAATGAGATGCACCATCGTTAGGACAGTTACAACTTGGCACTTTTATAAGTTGTAACTATGTGCCAACGATGACACCTCTCACTGGCAATGTCATATACCAAGTCAATGGTTCGATGCTGTAAATCACGAATACTATGGCAGAGAACGCAGGACTAGGTATGTTCCACAAGGTTCTGATCAGGTTGCGAAAACGATGTCGAACCAAAAAAATAATTCTCTACCTATCTTAGGTAAGGAATGAAATTAATGATTTGAAATCAATAAAAACATATGCAAGGTATTTGAGGTCTAGTTGAGTTCGCATTTAAGAGACCTAGTAGAAGTGGGAACTTTAGTGCTGGAAGTTAAAAAGATATAACATGGCCATTTATCACTAATTGATCTCAAAGATAGACATTTGTCCTATATCAAATAAAAATCATATTAAATTTGGGCTAAACTTGCTTTGAATCACTTTCGGCCAGAAGCCCTTCATTGCTTGATTTCCAAATGGCGTCCGGGTCAGCTAATTCGTTATACTCAAATGCATCGGACTGAGCTCGATCCCAGAATTTGTAGGTTTCAGCACAAACAAGAACAGGAGCTTGAGAAATCCGACTTACTATATTAGCTAACTGAGCGGTACCAATACGCGAGAGAACGTAACCGTTGTTGAGTAAAGCATGGGCGCCAAGTAGCAAAAGAGAAATCTGTTACAAGGTAAAAAGTATCGTGAAAGTTATTGTGATCCTTAACCAGACTCATGAAGTAACCAGAGAAACAATATGGTGCATATATGGATAGGAAAAAAATAGATAAGCTTTGGGAGGTCAGATGTAATTGGTCACCAGAAATCTGTGATAAATGGAATCAATAAAAGACAAGCAAGGGAAGAGTATAGAGAAAATATTAAATTAAAAAATGGCAGAAATGGAAAAAATAAATATAGCCAATTAACCATCAACAAAACATAGAAAGACTTAAGTGAACACATTAACGTTTACCTTAGATGCGAGTAAGGGTATGGCGCCCAAATGTGTGTATTCACAAGGGATGCCAGCCTGCGTCAACTCAAACAGCATCCGACGACCCTCAAAGTGGGGGCCAGAATCAACAACCAGGACGCTAAATTCGCCCTGTGTCATGCTTGTTCTAGGCTGTCCAGAGGTCAGGCTTAGGGTCCTAGAGTCGCCAGGAGTGGTAGTGGTGGTAGCAGAGTTAAGCTAATAAATAAGATTAGAGAAAAAACGAGACAGGCAAATAAAGCATGGATAGTTTAGATGGGATGTTCGACTTGACTAAGTACGGTGGTATCATAGCAAATTCGCAAAAAATGTCCATGTTTTATATGGAAGGAGAATTACTTATGCCCAACTTTTTTAATGAGTTTTTGGTAAAGGAATAATTATTATAAATGATCATGCAAGGTTCAATTTTAATTCTAACAGCCGAGTGTTCTCAGACGGTGAATGCAGGAAGCAGTGTAAATAAGCAACTAATTGACTAATAAATGGGGGAATTCCTTTGTGTATAATTTGTGATTATTTGGAGTAAGGCTCGAAGCTAGGCTTACGAATGTTCCTTCGCTTATAAAATGTCTGATACATGACATTGTTAGGCTTAGCATAGTCACTATGGTAAGAAAACAGTTCGATTAAGACTACCATGATCACAACGATCACTGGTTGAATGCACAGTAGCTAAAATACAATTGGCAATCATCTCGTAATTGAACTAGTCTATAATAGCCTTCTTCAATCGGCATACAATGATAATGCCAATAGCCAGTAACATGTAATAGCAAAATTTTAGATTTCATCGAAGCAAAAAAAGAAATTCTGAGTTTTTCATGAGTGCCGATTTCTTGATGAAGTCTTCAACAGAACTATATAAATGAGAAACATGGAAAACATATGATAGTAAGAGAAGCAATAACCTTTGAGGGGAATACTAACCGTAAGTTTCTCAAGACGAACCATCTGAGCGAGACGCCAAGTATGAATTAGGATACGAGATACCAGACTCGAGTAGCCAAAGATGGCTACACATTCGCCGGGCCGGATGGAAGAGGCAGCTCGGGACTCGATAGCTCGGCCTGCAAGCACTATACGCTCACGCACGAATTCATCAATTTCAGACAGCAGAGTAGTCCGACACTTAAATGGAAAATTGCGGCAAAGTTCTCTCACATAAGTTATGGACAATTCTTGTTAGATCTCCCAAGGATATTAACAAAACTGCATATTAAATTATTAAAAAGTATAGTTGGCGAGCTGATTATTGGCCTACTTTATGATCATTTACGAGGACGCAGTTGTGTAAG